GCAGTGGTGGTGAGGTTTTTCTGGGGAGGTCTGGGGTGGTTTTTTTTAAAGTTTAGGTAAAAAAATCCCAGTGTCTTTTAAAACAATAAAAAAAAGCAGAACTGTGACGAAATGGAAAATTTCTGAAAGACGACATGGAAAATATCTGAAAACAATTGCTTTATCTGGAACAGGCAAAAGCCTAAGCAAGAGGGAACACTGGACTGCACCACTGCCTGGAGGACATGGCTGGCACGCAGCAGCAACTCTGGAGGAGGGTAGGCAAGAACAATAAGATAGCAAGAACGGCAAGAAAAAATTAGTCATGGGTTTCTAATAAAAATCATACATCACTCTACTTCAGTTAATTGTCAAGTGTAAGTCAGCTATTTAATTAAAGGGATAACGTATCACCAACAGAATCAAGCCATTTTACAGGCGAATTTTTACATATCCATAGAAACTTGTTCACGTCAAAAGATTAAAACGTTACTGTCACGGTTCCAGGTGGGTATAGGGCATGAGTTGTTTGCTTCTCCTCTGGCTGCTCCAGTGCCAGAAAGCATCTTCCCCTTGAGGAAAGCACTTAGGCTGGGCAGACAGACTTAGCCCTTCTGTTTGCATTTACTCCTTAACTCTCGCATGACTAAGTGCTCCCCAAAAGAGAAGGTACAGTTCACAGGCAGCACACAAGCAAAACAAAGCAGATGTATCCATGCCCTGATCTCTTAGAAACACTCCTGTTCTTTGGTATCTACCTTTACCTGAAACAGGCATCCCTACTGTTTGCCTTACAAAAAGTCTTCATTTGATCTTAGATTATCTTACAAGCAACAATATTTCAACATCAGACAATCACTTAACATCACCTACCGATTCTAATCAATCAGCTCAGCACCAGTAGTTAACAAAACGCCAGGCTTCCAAGCCAAACATCTACCAATAAGAAATACTTGTGCTTCGGGTTGTATTATTTGCATAAAACTTTGGCAGGTGATTAAACAAACCTACTTTCTCAGTGAAAACAAACCCCATGGTAATTTTGCTGATAAACTACTTTTATATGGGTTTTTTTTCAGATTATTTACCAAAGTCATTCTCTGCTCTCTGTGTTTAAAGGTTATACAAGATGAATCTCATTTATGAGTCATTTCAAAACTCGTAGAAGATAAAAGTAGCACCACGATCTTGGTGCTTTTTTCTTCCCTGTAACTCTAAGCTGTTCTGCCCTCTCACTTGTAGATCTTCGAAAACAAGGTGTGAAGATTTCATTCAAAAGTGCCAAAGTAAATTTTACTTTTACACCACTGTCCTTTCAATAAGCAAGCCAGTCCTGCAGACACCAGGGAACCTAAGCATGACACCTCCGTGATGAAACCCAGCCCACACCCTTCGGCAAGGCAGGAGTTAGTGAGCAGCGCAGGGAGGACAGCAGGCTCAAACAAGCCTGCCACTTGCTCAGTGATTCAGTCAGAAAGTAGATGTTCTGTAAGAGGAAAATTGCTAACATCTTATTCTGCAAAGATGACTACTTCAGCACAACAAGCCAGATTTTAAGTGTCTAGAAAATGCACTGTTTCACCCTAACAGGCATGGTTCCCCTCAGCTTAAATAGACCAGTTTCAAGAGAGTCTAGAGTCCCTCGGATTCTAGCTTTGGAGGGGAAGCTTGATATATACTCAATCTCTTGCAGTTTCCATCAAATTTCAGTTACTCATTCTAACCTCTGAAGGTCAGACAACCCCCTTCGTTCTTATGCTGCTCTTTTCCTTATACCATTCCCCCCCTCCAGCTTTCTTCCAACAATGCCACCTTGAGTGGCACATTCCCTGCTCCTGCCTTTCTCCGTAGTACTGCCATCTCTCCCTACGCCTCACAGGTGTTTGAGCTTACACACAACGCACATAATATGAGGGAATCATAAAATAAGGATCTAGCTTGGTCCCAAATTACTATTTATTGACTACATGAAAATGTTTAAGCCCAGCATATATACATGTTGCTGCTCCAATGGACTCTGCTGTTCTAAAAGTATAATGCAAGGAATGCCTCTGGAGGCTGAATCATTTAGAAAGTAATACACCCCGTTTCTAAACATGACAAAGAATTGAAGGAAATAAACCAGCAGAAATCTCTTTATATTTCCCTGTTTCTTACGAGGGGCTAGAGAAAAGATTTCTTTGGGATCACCTTTATCTTTACTGTATTTAAAAAAAAAAACCCAAACCATAGTGGGTTTGTGTTTTTTTTTTTTTTTTAAGTAGGATTTCTTGTACTGTAACACTGATTCAAAGAATAGAACTTTTTTTTCTTTAAAGGAAGACTTATCGGGTTGTCTAATCTATTTCTCTGCCAAAGCAAGACTATTCCTGACAATATTAGCACATTGCCTATTCTTGTTTTAACTCTGCTAGGGCATGGAGCCTCAGATATACACCCCCTCTGCACACCTACAACACTGTTAACAGCTCTAGTAAGGGAGCATGCCAAGTACCACACCAACAGCGAACCACTCAGTACCATTCCTGAGGGACAAACTTTCTTCAGAACTAATCTCCAAAGCACCTCTGGACTTGTAAACAGAACCGAGGAACTACTTCTACAGCTTTTTTAAAAAATCCTTTTACAAAAGCATAATTATCTAAGAAATCTTGCCAACATCATGCCTCCACTTGCACTACAGTGACTGAAAAGGAACGGTGGCTGTGGTACCTGGCTGCCCCAAGAGCAACATCCTTGCTTCCAATCTTGCCATTTGAAGTCTCAGCACCACGGCTACCCCAAGAGCAACATCCTTGCTTCCAATCTTGCCATTTGAAGTCTCAGCATTTCCAAACGCAATGCTTGCTCCTTGCTTTTAAGGCATTTCACTCTGCCACAAGTAGTGTGGAGCACAAATTAGGCCTGTCTGTTCATATAATTCCAACATTTGATACAAGTCACTTTCAGCCATGAACATATTTACCTTAATGACATCTCTTTGAGGTATAACAGTTTTGCTATTCCCATTTAAAGGCTGAGAAATTACATCAGGAGAGGCTAAAATACAGACCCACAGAATGGGAAAAAATAAATATAGACCACAGAATTCATGGGAATTTAACACTTTAGTATGTCTCTATGATCTCAGTAAGCTCCTGGGAAAATAACAACAAAACCCAACAACAATAAAAACCCCAAACAAACAAAGACAATCAATACTGTTTCTATTAACTAACTGATTTATACAACCACAGGTATGATGAATGAGCCGGAGCACATTCCATATTGCAAAATAAAGAAACACACAGCCAGTCTGCAGTAAGGACACAAAACAGAAGTGCAGAATTTTTCCTAACTGGTTAGGATGACTAAAGGAACGTCTCATGCTGCATCAGTCAAAAAAATAATTAAAAAAACCAAACCCTGTCAAATCATTAGTTCTCAGTATTAAAAAACCTACTTGTGTCATAGAAAGCACACTGCAAGTACAATGGGTTCATGCTTTTTATGCAGCTGTAGGTTAGCATTATATGTTGATATAGACTTTGTTATTGAAAACCCCAATAAAAAGTTGGCTTTGAGATTGCAGGGCGCGTGCCCCACGTATACTGCTATGTAATAGTTCACTGCAATAATTATGCCAGTTATTATATTTATAACTTCATTTCCCTGGGAGACTGGAAATGCAACATTCCAACTAAAGGCTAAACAATTAAATAATTTTCTTGGGGTGGACAAAACAAAGCCAGCACATTCTGGATTAACATGACTGAGGGCACACACCAGCCGGCACTAACACAAAACCCATCTGCTTATATAAAAGCAAGTTTAAGATGGATTCTATTGTAACAAATCCAGTGTTCTAGCAACAAACCATAAGAAAAAGTGGCAGAACTTTTGATAAACTTTCTCCAGTTTTCACTCAGTTAAGAAGTTTTGTGTTTCACAGAATAGCAATTTTTTTTTAATTCTAGAGACAGAGAGAAGCATATTGCAAACGTGTTCTGTAACAGGGGTTTTTTTCC